AAAAAAGGTAGTTGTGTCTGAGCGAATTGAAAAAAAACTGAACGGGCCAAGCCTCACAGCCTTTGCCGGAACCGCGTTCCGTCGGGGTGGAGGGCAAACGAACGTTCTGTTGAAGATACATGCAAAGTGTGGCCAGTAGCCGAAACTGTTTTCTAAGACTGAATTGAATGGAGAACACAATCAATAACGATTCTCAGGCCTCTGGGTGCAGCTCGAGTTGGACTACGGCTAACTTCATTCCACTGACGGATAACTGATGGATTTCAGCTGTTGCAGACTGATACCAAAGGGGCTGCAAGCACGCAATTGGAATACTTAAGCTGACAGGGGCATTGAACCAAAAGAAAGATATGGAAGCTTGTGTCGACTACTCCGATAAAGACAAACGTCGGCATTGAGATTGCAGTTGTAATTACGTTACAAAGAAATATAAGTCAATTATTATTGTATATATTTGTTGCAATTTTACGTAAGGCTCCTTGTGATTCTATTTATTGATTCTAATTTTTCTTGCCTTGTTCTTCAAGTCGACCGTATAAAGCACATCATGAGGCAAAAACAGTCATATTGACTTGCGGATTGGACTACCATCTATTAAAACTAGACTGATTGCAATTATCGCTGGCAGTGCCATTGTTTCATTCGTTACAATAGCGGCTGTCTAGACATGGTTATCTTCATGAACGACATGAAACATCAACACTGCCTTCCACTTTGCATCTAAACGTCGCGTGAAGTGCAGCAGAGCTGATTACCCTTTTATTTTCCTCACATTAGTCCCCCTTTAGTGTCTGAACAACATTGCTCTATGCCAGCATTCTGCGCATTCGCGTTTTGGAAAGCATTCAAGCCGAAAGCCATGGGACTTCTAGGTATCCACACCGCAAAGCGGGCCAGCCCTGACTACCGTGTTTTGGTTAAGTCATTGCATTCATTACCTTTAACGGACCGGAGCGCGGTGGCCGAAGTGATGAACAGGCTTCCTTCAAAACCGGCATCCCCAGAGTCTTAAGCGCTAATTCCTGAGTGCAATGCATTTACCCCACGTTGCTTCGGTCAAACCGGTTGAGAATCGAATAGTAAACTGGTGGCTTGCGAGAGAGGAATGACATCACACTCTGATATGGTCACTCGAGAATGAGCGAGGGGTACAGTCATGCTGTCTGATGCCTCTAGCTCTTGCGGCTACACTTCGTGTTCACTTACCTGATAGCTAGGTGTTCAGTGTGATAATCAGCACAAGATATGACCTGACAAAACTGCACGAAAGGCCGTACAGTTTTCTGCCCCATCACACATTACCTGGCTACATGACATTTCGTAGCCGAGGCTTTCACTTCCATCGCGGTTGCTACTTTATGTCCTGTTATCCGCACTTCACTCAGCCAGTCAACTAGTCATACTTACTACATTGTTAAGGTACGTGGTTGAGGAACGTTGGCTTAGCAGAACACAACGTTCAGCGGAAATTATTTAATGCTCGGCGTGCTAGTTGGCCATAGGACAAAATATCTCTAATTCAGTACTTAACGTTTTCGAGTGACTGACTGTACAGCTGAACTGATGAACTAGGCTTTCAAGCATTCAGCAGTATGACAATACAAGTGATGTTATATGATAATAATTTAGCTCGACAAATTACCGAATTTCAGCGCCTAGTGCATCGCCTCTTCTTAACACTCGTCTAGAGGTCACTTAGACTTAACATGACTCTGACTTTTGAGCAACTGCAGTAACAGAATCAGAAGTATCTCGCATTATTTTGGCAACTGAAGTTAAACCTTGCACATCACTATCGACGCTTCAGAAACCGGTATGGCTGTTATGTTTTCGCGAAGCACCGAGTAATACTAATGCGTTCGCGGCGATCAGCATGGTAACCGATAAAATGAAAATTTTTTAGAGCAGTATATGCATAAACACCATGGAACCGTGACCTGTCTAAATGGCACCTTAAACAACTGGCAGGAAGTTAACATTGCAGAGCTCGGTAAAATCTGACGACTGAACGAATTAAGCTGTACGAAAGCGCAAATATTGATATCATAATTTTGGCTGTTTTCAAAGCTGCGGTATTGATAAACAACGTTTGGTGTAACGTCGACGTGCACGGTCGAATGTGACTTTATTGCGGCCTCAACACTGTTCATACGAAGGCTTCGTTGCTGAAATCAAGCCAGAATCCCTTTCTGTAGCTGCTGTTTACTTAGTCATGACGCCACTACAGTTTTTCATGACGTTATTATCATTTTGTGGTGGGAAGTGTCTGCAGGCGGTCAATGACGATTACGTCGCTTCGGCGCCGATCGATAGTCGTGGTTCACCGTACAGTCCTTGGCGCACGTTTGATTCGGTATGATTGGACCGTGGTCATCTCCATCAACTGTAACATTCAACTAACAAGTTATATATCTATGAGAAGCTGTCCGTGAGTGCAATGTGTAACCTTTATCAAACTAATGAATTTCGAAGGTTCTAAGATTTCGTTCATCATCAGAAGTTCATTATTTATATATTAGTATCTCCCAAGCAGCAAGTACAGAAAACAAAATCACAAAGCGTTTGCCAAACTAGTTGCGAATTGACCAATTATTTAATAAAGTTGAAATTTGTTTAAAGTCATTTTTTCATCAAATCAGATCGAATTGATGTGTAAAATAACTGTTTACATAGCCAAATCGATGTGCAATATATAACATCATTGCGCCCTTTCGTAATTGTTCGCTATCCCACGAAGGTATGAAGAATATCTCTATTATAACAGTCACAACTGATTGTATTCTTCCGTCCGCATCCCGATATTTTTTCTACTTAGCTGCTGTTTGATGACCGGAAGCAAGTTGTTCGTAGTATATTTTGCGGCCCTTCTGAACTTTACGGAGCCCATCAATTAGCTTCCATACCTACGGGTACGACATTTCCAACTTGGAGCTCACGAAGAGCTTCTCACCGATATGTAACACTCTGGTTTCGATATTACAATTGGTCAATACTTACCATGCTATGGAAGCAAAGTTGCTTTGTACATCAGCTCATTGTTCTTCTATGAAAGGTTGACTTCAAAGTTTAGAAAAATTTAAATTTAGTGACATAACTGGGCAATTTCACAACTAATTTGACAGATGCTTGGTGATTTTATTTTTTGCTGTTGTTGTTCTTTTGGGAGATATTAATATATAAATAATGAACTTCTGGTGATAAACAAAATTTTAGAACCTTCGAAATTCATTAGTTTGACAGAAGTTTCACGTTGCTGAAAGGAGAGCTTCTCACTTGCTAGGTTGGATATTACAATTGATGGAGATGACCACAGATCAGTCATACAGAATCAAACGCGTTGTACGTTGATAGCGATTATCGATGTGCACCGAAACGATTGCACCGAATCGTCCCACTCTGTCTGGAGAAGCGTGTCAAGAAAAGGTTAGGTTAATGGAAGCTTTGTATATTAAACCGGTGCCATAAAATTGCGGAGCTGGTTGACAGAAGGCTGTTAAAACACTGCTCTCACGACGGCTCACACATTCGACTCTTTCGCCGGCGAGTGTTCGATCAGCATTGAAAAATGTCAACGAATTTGCATTAATCATGGAGAACTCTTGGCCTCTCGTCTTGTGTACTGTTTAATTAAAAGTTATGTCTTCATTACGACGCCACTGACTTAACTTTGTCTGTTTCTTGAAATGTCAATTGCGGAGATGTATCAGATACCTTGAAACGAAACACCAAAGAGCCGAAGTGGCAATTTCGATCAGTCGTGAGTGCCTCCCTAGTTGATCAGACACTCTGAACTACTCCTCCAGGAAAGCCCATTGGCTGACTATCATGTAATGTGCAAAATGTGTGAACTGCGTATGTTTAGAAAAAAACTTCACCTTCATTTCAACCAGCACATCGAATTCTTTCATGTTCTCAGAGCAATGCGAGCTGCATAAACTATTAAAATTTTACTGATTGAATAAAGATAATAGAGAAAATCTGTTTTGCACTGAATGAACTAAAATGTACTACTGTTTGACGTCCTCGAGCTAATAAATAATGCGCAATGAGGTTGGGAATGTGGCTGTTCGATGAAATTCCGTCCGGCCGAACACACTACGCATTTGAGTCAACTGCAAACAATCGCTCACATACGTGAGAAGAGTTTGACATGGTCGATGAACGGTATCACTTAAGATCTTATTCACCTTAACTTTGACCTTCTGTCTTGAAGGATTCTTACTCCAATTATGGGCAAAAAATTAATTATGAATTTTAGAACGTATTTCCTGATTCGTTTGATTACTTGAAGCATGGACGGAACACCTCCTTTACCGTATTTCAAGGTTTCGATATGCTGCTCCACAAATTCTAGAGTTCTCTGTCTGACAACCAGCGTTTCATTCCAATGGATTATGTAAGGAAATGGACGGATAAATGACAAATTTCACGCCATTTCGACATTGAATACGTGACGATTCAGATAAATAAATTATCTGGCTTGCATGCTGCTGTCGCAATTTTTCTGAACGAAGGATGGCATTTATCATTTGCTGCGTGGTCTAGAACGGTTCTCTAATATTTGCTGAAAGTTCTACAAATGCACTGAAATAACGTTAATTCAATATGTGGATTCATTCCGTTGTAGAGATAGAGATATAGGCATGAATCAGTGGAAAGCTATGCTCGTTGTCAGTTGCTCATATATTCAATTATGAAAAATGTTTGTTCATAAAAACATTCGCACATTTTATTTAAAGAAACGATTTTCGAGAAAAATTAGAAAATTAAATTAGACATCGCAGTGACGATATTCACATGTTGCAAGATTGCATGTTACATTTGACATCTAAAGGTATAAGAATTACAGGGGAACTGTGTTCTGTTGCTTAGTAGCGTCGCTGCGTTGCACCGTAACGGCCGACATTAGATTCCTGTAGAGACTTTAACGGAGACGATTAGTTGACGGTTTGTTCGGAAATCGCCTGACAAAGACAGAGCGCAAAAATGATCCCGATCAACTAAAGCTTTGCTGTAAGAAGGACCGATCGTAGACAAGCTTTAAACTTCACCTGAATCAGTCCTACAGCAGCGCCAACGCTGATGACAATCACTAGTTGACTTTCGAGCACTTCCGTCAGAGCCTGATGGCATCCCTAAATCGGAAGCGTTTACGAATTTAGCGAAACTTCCTCGTCGCGCATTGCTCACCAAGCCTCGTCTGTTAGCAGCCAAGCAGTAGGTATCCGGACTCCACGGCGACGGCGTCTCACAACAAGCGGCAGGAAACGGATCCGGTGGCTTGAAGCTTCGATACCACTTGCTGCTATTGAACTCATTTGGTTTCGATTCGATTCCGCAACATTCGTACTGCAATTTTCAACTCATTTCATGGCATTATTTTACACCGTCAAAAGATCAGTATTCAAATAATTTTAATAAATGATGAGTAAAGGTAACCAGTCATGCCTGCCTTGCGGGTTTACTTTTCTCCGGGATGCCATGGTTCGGCTACTGCCGCATTACATACAGGCATCATAAGTCTGGGTTACTCTGCTGTTTAGGGTTTGCTAGCCAATGATGACAATGACACAACAACGGCAACAATAACAGGTAGTGCGGCTGACGGACTGGCCTCAGTGTAACATCACCTCGTGACAGAGGTATCGTTCAGAAATAGCATTTCCCAGCGCATCATCTATACATGACAGGTGATATGGTTGGGTCATGACAAGGCGTTCAGTACCACCGCTTTGGAATTACATGGAACAAGCACGATAGATATCGATGGTTCATGTAAGGGATGGCATAGCTCAGTGACGACAGTAAATTTACAAGGTATAACGTTCCATGTATGAGTGACGCTGTCACATGGGGAGTGCGTTGGTCAAGGCACGCTGATTGGCACAAGCACTTGGAAAAGATCTATAAATGGGCCATCCAGACGTGATATCAGTGCTCAATAATATTCCTTTTCCGGTCTTCTCTGAACTATCTTCGACTTGCTCTATGTTTCCTCTGGTTGATGGTTTAACTGAGAAGCTTCGATATCGAACTGAAGGCACTGCATCGTTTTGGGAGTGAAAGTGCCACTGGTTGTTCGTCAAAACGTCCGGCACCGCAGAGCCACAGAATGCCAGTCTTTTGGATGCGCCATGACGAAAACGACTGCGAATCGGCCCATCTGGAACTAAACAATTTACGGCTATTTGTTAGGGGCTCTCGTCTTTCTCATGCAGTATCATACCGGGCTAAAGTTTGGGGAAGAGGGTCTTTACGAATGACAACAAGAGGCTGATCGTTAGCGACGCAGCTCTAGATATTCGGCGGTATTCTTAACGGACTTTGAGTATGTCGATGACAGGTCAGATTATCATCAGCAAACCGCAGGTGGCTTAAGTGACGCCATTTATGTCCAGCCTCTGATTTTCTCATCGCAGTGTCTTGATAACCTCTTTTAGGAGGACGGTGAATAATTTCGGTAATATCGTGTGTCCTTGTCAGACGCGCTTTTCGATTTTAAACGTGGCCTTTTTGTGAAGCTTCACACTAGCAGCTGAATTCTTGAAAACCATGGGAAGGAGATCTCTGTATCCTTTCTCGATTCCGTGACTTCTTGAGAAATTCAGTACAAAACGGATTTAAACTGAATCGAAAGCGTTCATGAAGTTGATAAACCCTTGGCAGAGAGAAAATTGATATTCATCACTTATCTGAATCATCTTGAGGTGACCCATCGTAATCCATGGAACATGAGCCAAGGCGCAATAGTAACAATGCAGAAGAGAAAATAGGATGGAAGATAAGACGGGAAACAGAGCGAATAAGTTTATAAACCTCACGATTGCACGAACAGAGCAGACTCGCCAAGACTGGTAACAGGCGAACGA